AACGTACCCACACACCATACCCAGTTAACGTACCCACACCCCACACCCAGTTAACATACCCACACTTCACACCCAGTTAACGTACCCACACCTACACACCCAGTTAACATACCCAATAATTTCCACCCAGTTAACGTAACCACACCCCACACCCAGTTAACGTACCCACACCTATACCCAGTTAACGTACCCACACCTACACCCAGTTAACGTACCCACACCTACACCCAGTTAACGTACCTAAACCTACACCCAGTTAACGTACCCACACCTACACCCAGTTAACGTAACCACACCTACACCCAGTTAACGTACCCACACCCAGTTAACGTACCCACACACCTACCCACGTTCACCTCGACAATCAAAATTAACCTTTTCTCAAGACCAATTCCAGATATACCAAACACATCACCCGCAGTCAAGTCAACACGCGCTATAGCATGTTAAATGAACGTACACTTATCCCTACCCCACCAGAGGAGGATTAACGTTCTTCATTACGCCTAAAAAGATACCCATTCATAAACGTTCACCTGTCCTGATAAACGTTCTGACACACACCTGGCCATCATTGTGACCTAAAATTTATTTCTATCCTCATTAATTCCTTTCAAGGTTTTGTCAATTTTATTTTAAGACACATGACGTCATATCTCAGGTCAAGGTCGGGGTCAGGATAGGTCAGGTCAAATCAGCACGTATCCCCTCTTACATATAAGTAATTAATTTCGTTTAATTAGTCAAGGTCAAGAATCTAATTAGTATTTGTTATATTGACTGTAATTTTGATGTTAATATAATCTAATTGTAACATGTGTGTGTGTGTATGTACTCCAAACGTTACATTACAATACATAGCTGCATTCATTGTAACACCAATATCATAAGGGGTAAGTTACATAACCCCACTGTAACACAAACACAAACACACAGTAACACACATACATCAAGGGGTAAGTTACATAACCCCACTGTAACACACATAAATTACTGTAACACAAAACCCACTGTAACACAAATACATGGAGGGGCAAGTTACATAAACACATTATAAAGTGTGACCTCTATCCCCCAGCTGGCCGCCGTGGACCAATAACCCAGAATACTGAGAGCCAGATTGACACTCGCCCGCAATAAGTCTCGTCACATAACTGGCCAATCACCTCCAATCAGTGCATAATTATCGATCTTAACTGGCTAATCATTCTTCAATCAGTATCTAGGGTTTAATTAGGTTTGAATATTATCTCTAATTATATGGTTTAGAATACACGCGCACGTACACACACCTTAATCATGCAGGGTAGGAAATATTGTCGTCGATTCCGCTATAAATAAGTGACAGAGAGAGAGAGAGAGAGAGAGAGAGAGAGAGAGAGAGAGATGATGTATCGTTGCGGTTTGGTTAGATGAGAGCGAGAGAACGTGAGATTAATATAAATTCTACAACGGTTCGTAAGCTGAAATTTCCTGGTAACTGGAGGCGTCTACGAACACAACGAATTGATTGATTTCTTCTTTAAAACAACAATTACGTAAAAAATGGCATTGGAATTAAAATAAACTTTAAAATAATTTTCCGGTACATGAAATGGGTTTATGTAAATACCGGGACGATCACTTACCAGTTTGGGGGGGGGGGGGTTAACTAATGAGAATCCATTTACCGGGGAAATACATTATATCGTCCTAATTAATACTGGGTCAATACATTCTACCTTCCCTGATACTGGGTCAATGCATTTTCCTCCTTAATTAATACCGGGTCACATTCTATCTTCCGACCTAATACCGGGTCATACATTTCACCCTTTATCAAAATACTGGGTCAAATCCTTTCTTTCTTTCACAACACTATAATGAAAAGTTACTTACACACATACACACACAGAGTCTACCTTCATGAAATGTGTCAAGATCAACCTACACTCTCACGTTTCCTGTTACAATAAACTTGGGATAAATTTCAAAATACAGCAGTGATACAAAATACAGCAGGAATACAACATAACATTGGCTCACTTCACAACGGTAGTGTAAGGTCGGGGATCATTGTATAAATTTTCAATGCGTTAATTTAATCTCCTAATTGGTGTCATGACGGTGTGTATTTAGTCTAGGTAGGTTCAGTAGTTTGATAGTTTACGTAGTTTTGTATTTCAGATAGTTACGGTAGTTAGTGTGACGTGTTTCATCTCCGTCGAAAAGATCTGTTATATAATCCTTTGGTGAATTTAAAGACCCACGATTCCTTCACAAAACATTACTAAATAAACACAAACACACAAAACATCCACTCATAAACCACTTGATGTTATTTATAAACATTTGTGAAGGTTAAATCACACGCAGTAATCACCTTAGTGCTGAAATGGAATCAACTAATCACAGATCAACGTTTCATGAGCATTTAATAAACTCCCGGTACCGCGCGATACATCAAACGAGGCGAAAATACCTCTACTTGTGATGGTAAGGTCAAAAGGCATCTGAATTGGGTTGTTAACGTGTCTTTTGGTGGGTGATTAAAGTATCGTCAGCAACTAGGTGCAAAATATAGTAACTGGGCGGAACAGTAAAATAAATCATATCTATTGTCATTAACACGTAATTAATTCTAAGTCACTAATTGCTACAAGTAAATCGGCCACAATATTTAGGACTGGACGAAAACATTGGACTACGCATGCGTGGCCACAATGCAACGCTGGGGATAATTGCTGGCTCGGTAATCTGTAGCTATGTGGCCCCTGGGTGTGGCCTCGCCGGTGTAGGGGTCGTCAATCACTCTAGGTGGGGTAAGCTCTAGAGTGCACGATGCCTGGTGGTGAAACACACTCTAGAATAATCTGCACCGGACGTGACGTGACTTGATGTGAGGCAAGAGCATTATGGAGGCTTAATTCACACCTACGGCATTTTCCTTTTCTAAATAAACTTTCATAATGTCTCAAGTTTAAGTGCCCATAAAATATTAATTCACGATATTTTTTGTTTTTACATTCACAATTATTATATCCATTATGCCTAAATAAAACTTTAATATTCAGAAATGAGAATAAGTTTTGAATTTTACATTACAGTTCATTGTACCACCAGGTGAGATGCACTCTACTATAGTGAAAACTCTAGAATGGATTTCACCTGATGGTAAAATGGACTCTAGAGTGACCCTTGAGCGTGTTTCACCACTGGGCACCGTACACTCAGTCCATCTAGAGTGGTTGACGCCGACCTGAGTTACTTAATTTAAAAACCAATGTAAGAATTGAGAGACAAGTAGCACGAGTGTGTGTGACGACCTTAACAGCAATATGAAAGTTAATATAGGAAACCACTACAATGTGTTGGTTAAAACCTCGACCTAGTGAAACGCTGACGATGGATCACTGAAGCGAATATTACTAACCTAACCTAACGAGACATTTACCTTACTATGCACAACCACGAACAGTTAGTTAAAATGTTCTAAGTTAACGCTGAACAACAAAAGTTCATAATACGTTCACGTTACGCTAAATATCATGTCATAATGATTATGTTCACCAATGATTAAGTTTTATTATAAAATTTAAAATATCAAGCTCTTGCCCGCCACGAGAATCAACAAGGCGACAGAGTAGTTAAGCATTACTGTAAACAACAGATTCGACAATGGTGATTAGAGTTATATTAAACACTCGTAACTACAACAACAACAACTACGGTCTTTAATGCATGTATACACAGTCGCTTCGTCCATTAAACTCCAACTATTACGAGAATACGGATGAAATAAGATAAATAATACGATAACAAGGAAGAAATAAGCTAAATAATACGAGAATAAGGAAGAAATAAGAGATCCAATCAGTCCTAATGACTCAGTAGCGCGCGACTCCTGTTTTGTCTGCGGCCGCGTCAGGAGGTGGACACTGTTGACCTCTTGACCCAAGCGGCGCTTACCCTACTGACCTTGCAACACGAGGCACCACCACCGCTGCAACACACCTCCCCCCCCCCCACGCCCGCTGTAACACACTTCACCTACTTTCCTCAACAAACCAATGCACCTCATTCCCCCACAACACACCTCACTACACACCTCCTCACACTCCACAACACCCCCAACAACACACCCCCAACAACACACCCCCTACAACACACCTCCTCACCAACACCCCCTACAATGCACACAACAATATAATTTCCTGGATAAATACTAAGTGTCACATTATGTAAACAAGATACCGAGAGAAGTGTTGGTCTCCTCTGTAGCCTACATACTAAACATGCTAATTTAACCTAACCTCCTCAGTGTGATCTATTGCCCCCCTCCCTCCCCCGGCCGTTCATTCTTCACACTCCTAAGGTCAAGAACACCATGTTAAAATTCCACTATGTTCAACACAGCCCAAGAATCGACACCTCACAATGTTTTAAAAAAATATTATATTGTATGTTTTAAATTATTGTCTTGTATGAAGGAAGAATTGTACAAAAAAGTGACGATGTGCATTTAGAAACTTACTTATTACCTGTAAATTGGGGTACAATCCTCCTGGACTCATTCCTAAAACCAAATATGACACAGCTAACCTTGGATAAACAGTTGTCATCATTTGTTCTTGACTAAAGTTAGGAAATTATTATGGTAATCCGAGAATTTCTAAAGACAGGTGACTGCTACTGACCTCAAGAGGGAGTAATGACCTTGTTCAGTATTAGCAGGTAAGAAGTATCTCAAGTGTTATCTAAATTATCACAGCCTGGACGTGACTACCGCAAGGAGGCTCTTAGTGACCTCAAGAGCCTGTGTTATGACCCCCAGCGGCGGGAGTATTGACCTTGCCGCTACCACACCGCCTACATCAAACAACAATTGAGTTAAGTACCACTTCTAAGGGGTCACCAGCGGTCGCCCAGGGTGACTGTGGTAGCCTGGTGGTCCTAGGAAGCTGGGAATTCTACCATACAAAAGACATGACCTTTAGTGCAGCAGGCGGGGGAGTACTGACCTTGCGTGTGTCGGCCGTGTTGGTAGCCAGGTCGCGCGAGGGCGGAGTGCGGCCAGACGCGCGCCCCAACAACTTTCTCAAGCTGGACTCCACGATCTTGGAGGAGATGTAGACACCTGAACCACTAATATCTATTTCCTCTACGATGGGTGAAGCACTCATGCACTCAAATACACACCCGCGGGCGCACTCAAATTTCCTACAGGGTGTGCTGGCAGGTAAACGTGTGCCCAGCAAGGCTTTTCTGATAATCTTTTTCAAGTTCTCCTCAGCGGGTCCACTGGGCTCCACCTTTACTGCTGTAGGAGAACCTTCACAGCTATAACACACAATTTCCCCGTGGAGCTGTAGGTTTCACGCTCCCGGAGCATCTTTGGCTGTCATTTCAAAACACATCGGCGAAGGAACTTTTCTTTATATTCTGACCTCCTCCTCCTCAAACACTTAAGTGATTAACACACAAACTTAACGTTAACTCCAGAGAGGTAAGGTGCTGTCGTGAGCTGTGTACTGTGATCCTGAGTAAGTGTCGCACATCGAGGGTACTCTTTCATGAGCTCTTGGTGGGGAGAAAGAGAGACACACACCACCGCCACGTTTTCACTGTTTCCAAATTAATTTCAACACCTCAAGTGCACTAACCTTCAACGCAGGTCACAGTGAAATTCAATACACGCCGAAACGCCACCAACCACACAGGGTCGAAATTCTATCAAACGCTGTAGATTTGTGGTGATTTAACCGTTCACTGTGAAGTATGTTGTTTCATGCTACTTCTCAAGCTCTACACGACGCCGTAAATATCACACGTTTAGGCAAATTTTAAGCTTCATGTGTATCCAATTGGGTGTATAGAGCCTTGTGGTGAGAGAGGCGGTAGTGTGACGTCCTCCTCCCAACACCGTCACGTGTGAACTGCAAGGCAAACCTAACCTACACTCGAAATGAGTTGCTGGAGGCTGAGTCAGTTGCCAGTTAACACGTTACCACCCTTATTATCCACAATTCTTCGCTTTTCAACTACATTTGTATATTTTTCAATCATGTGTGATATAAACTTGATAAAAAATATAAGATCTGTGAGCAGTATGGAGTGTACATAACGAAATCTGTCTTTTGAGGTTAATGTGGCAACAGGAGCGAACGAGCGACCCCAGCCTTCGACAGGGGCCACGATGCCACGTACCTCAAGACTCTAAGCTACACAACACCAGTATAAACCAACGCTATACTCTATTACCTTGACGACCCGTAAATAGTAATACTAGTCATCAATACACAAAACCCAACCGGTGTTACTGTCTCTATTACTTACCAGACAACACTAACGAGAGACGAGAAATAACAAAAGGAAACGGTTTGCCCTGGTCGAAAATGTGTTCTATGCCATGGCCTATCGCGAATGGGAACGGGGGGGGGATTGGAGCCAGCGCTGAGGAACCAAGGATACACACACACACACATACATACATACCTCCCAGTCTTACACACACGTCACTGTCCTCCACCCAATCATACTACTAATATCACGGGTTCTTTCCCTCTTCCCTCCCTCCACTGAACAAATTCCTCCTGAACTTAGTAACGGCAAATGACATTATAAAGTGAGACAGAGGAGCAGCAAGGTGTGTATAATTGGGCCTAGGTTATCGCCAAGGTTACCCACACCAACCTCGGCTTATTACCTCTCCATCTCTTACCCTTTTCAATGGGGAAAATTAATACTACCTTAACCGAACTTGGTATTAAATCCTTCTTCCGGTATTTGTTATCGAGACGAGGTAACCGGCCATCACGATTATATAAACCGGATATAATAACACGTAGGAGAGCGAATGACCCTTTTAGGTGTTAAGGAACTATCAAATGTGTTGTTTATCGTCGTCCCCCCCTCCCTCCCCCCCCCCTCTCCCTAACCAGATAATACTGTACACTTGCCGCTGTTTATCTCAAGAATGCATTACCCAAATGACGTGTACATTTCCTGGGTAGAATTATATTACATATGTACATAACCTTCGGCCTCTCGCGGTGTGCTGATTATCTGTACTGATGTAATATGTAAATTTCCTATATCACCTGTGTACTTTACCTGTTCCCTCGGTGTTACATAATGTACTTTACCGATGTACTGTACACTTTTTGTATGTAACTACCCAGATGTACTTAACTATCCCCTTGTTATTACTTAAATGTACTTTACTGCATTAGTTACCTTATAATATGTACACTTAACATCGTCCTCAAAGGGTTAAATCATCTCCATCAAAGGGTTAAAACATCGTCCTCAAAGGGTTAAAAAATAATTGGCATCAAAGGGTCCAAACGTCATCATCAAAGGGTTAAAACGTCGCCATCAACAGGTTAAAAGATCATCAAAGGGTTAAAACGTTGCCATCAAAGGGTTAAACCATCGTCTCCCAAAGAGTTAAAACATCACCTTAACCCCCCCCCCACAAACCTTATCAAATAAAACCCCTTAAAATCCCCAAATAAACCTAAACTCAAGGAAATACGGACGAGAAATTAAGTCCTTAAATCCAGGTTAATTTACCCTAAAATAAACCGTATTTAATAACCACAAAAACATACCTCAAGATGGCCGATTCTTAAACGATCTTACGCGAATTTTTTTTTACCTTCAGATAAATCAAACCTGACTTACGAGGTTAATTAAAAGAAAGTGAATAGTATATTTAAGACCATTTTATACGAGTTTATAAAAAAAATTATATAAGACATTACAAACACTCGAATATTTAATTATTTTTGGTAATAAATTATAAGTAATTTATATTGGAATTAAAGGGCATTTAATTATGGACTTACAGCAGTTAAATGTAATTAATTTTGGATTCAGAGTAGTTAAAGGGTAATTATCGACCTACAATAGTTACAAGTTAATTAATCGTACTCAAGGGATAGTCATAGTACTCACGGTGTTAGTCATCGTACTCAAGGTGTTAATCCATAGTACTAAAGGGGTAAAGTACTCAAGGGGTTGAATCATCATATTAAAGGGGTAAAATCATCATACTCAAGGGGTTAAATCATCATACTTAAGGGGTTAAATCATCATACTCAAGGGGTTAAGTCATCATACTCAAGGGGTTAAGTCATCATACTCAAGGGGTTAAATCATCATACTCAAGGGGTTAAATCATCATACTAAAGGGGTTAAATCATCATACTCAAGGGGTTAAATCATCATATTTAAAAGGTTAAGTCATTAAACAAAAAACAAACACAAAAATCTATAAAAAAAAATCATGGTTTAAAATACAAAAAAAAATTAAAATCCCAACCAATATGGCGTCGGTAGAGCATCAAGACTCGAGGGAAATGTCCAGAGGAGAAGCAAGGGGGAGGGGGAATCGACTCGTATCAGCAGGTTTTCTCAAGAGGCGCACTGCAGGAAGGGAATCAAGCGCTCATTGTACGGCAGGCAGCGGTGGTTGAGTCACGGCAGCAAGGTAGTCACGTACCAGGTGGGGGAGGAGGGGAGGGAGGAAGGGTTTGATAGAGGGTGGGAGGGGTTTGGTAGAGGGGAGGAAGAGGTTTGATAGAGGGGAGGGGGTGTTGATCTGTGACTCTGAACTTGACCTTTGGTGCTTTAAGTTCATAATAAATAGTAAATCCCCTTGTTAGGTCATCACAAACAAGTAGTCCCTCTGTCCTAGCTGAGGTGTACAGGGGGCTAGTGTGTACGTTAATCTAGTCTTACACTATGTACTAAACTGTACTGTGTTATGAGTACATTGATGGTCGTGTGATAACTTGTCGTCCATTAAATACGTACACAAATGTACTAATTGTATTGTGTACAGTAATTGTTCCCGGGTTAATTGGTTAAGTTAGGTCAGGTCAGGTCAAGCTCGATCACGTGAGGTATGTTAGGTTAGGTAAATAAATTATCGTTCTTTGCCCATTCGTGACCTGGTGACCTTATAAAAGAGGTCAGGGGTCAAGGTCACACTATCCGGGTACTCCTCTCTCTATTGGTGTTTGACCAAATGACCTCGACCGTGACCTTCATGGATGGGTCAAGGTTCACTTATCCCAACTAAGCGTTCTGACCCCGACCAGGCCCCCCCCCCCCCAAGATGCTTTAGAGGTCAAACGGATAAATTAACAAGCGTTAACTGACCTTGAATCACCTGAAGATTAGCCACCCTAACACTATTTGGGGGGGGAAGGGGTTAGGTTGGGTTCACAATAACAACCAAACTAACACATTAACATAACCAATTCAACATGAACCAAACCAAGGTCGTTCTTCACTTAGGTCAACCTCCGACCCGTAACTTTCTACTTTCTTTGACTTTCACTTAAATCATTGTCTTCCAATCCTAGGCTTTCACTTAAGTTTCTGTCATCAAATTATTAATACTTTCTTTAACAAACTAGAGTACCCCAAAGTTTCACCTGTGACTGTCCTTACTTTCCTATACTTTCAAAATACTTTCTGTCGTCAAATTTATACTTTTGAACTACTTTTCACTGAGAGAGAGGTAAGTGACCTGATTTCTACAATAGCTGGAGTCGTTTCCCCCGTTTTCTCCAGCCTCGTTCGCATCGCCGGAGGAGGAGGAGGAAGAGGGAGAAGAGGAGGAAGAGAAGGGGCAGGAGGGGAGGCAGAAGAGGAGGAGGAAGAGGGAAAAGAGGAGGGGGAAGAAGAGGAGGTGTACTTCAACAATTTCTACCACAATTTCTACTACAACTGCTATTACCAATACTACCACTATTACTACCACTACCACTACTACCACTATTACTACCACTACCACTACTACCACTACCACTACTACCACTATTAATACCACTACCACTACTACCACTATTACTACCACTATCACTACTACCACCTTAATATATATATCCTAATACAAAAGTCGTTAACTATAGCTGTGTTGAGCCGCAAAGCAAACCTAAGGAGAGAGAAGGACAGTCGACATCTCATCCAGGCTGTAACATAACCACTACTACTACTACAAGGTGTTACAATTTACTACAAAATGACACCAGTAATTACAGACTTTCCCTGTACCTTTGAGAGTAATAACAATAACATGACAAACTACCATGAGTTGTTTTACCTGAAGATTAGCCCCCCAGTTTATGTCACCTGATGGTTAAACACCCTACACCACCTTGCGTGTATGTGTGTGTGTGTGTGTGTGTGTGTGTGTGTACATCAACAAGTGTACTGTACAACACAAAGACAGTACATTACACTCCATACTCCAACACCCTCCTCCAACACCCTCCACCAACACCCTCCTCCAACACCCTCCACCAACACCCTCCTCCAACACCCTCCACCAACACCCTCCTCCAACTTTCCAAACGTTTGCTGTCAATTTCTCTTCAACTGTCTAGCTGAGCACGACAGGAGAGAGCTTTCCACCTTCTGTCCGCTGTCGTGTTTACCGTCACCTGCTGCCTATCTGTACTCAACCTGCTGTCTCTGTACTCAACCTACTGTCTATCTGTACTGTGTCTCTCTGTACTCAACCTACTGTCTATCTGTACTCTGTCTGTACTCAACCTGCTGTCTATCTGTACTGTCTCTCTGTGTTCAACCTGCTGTTTCTGTACTCAACTTACTGTCTCTATGTACTCAACCTACTGTCTATCTGTACTCAACCTACTGTCTCTATGTACTCAACCTACTATCTCTCTGTACTCAGCCAAAAATGTAAACAAACTCGTATTTCTATGGTTCTTAAATGCTGAGTACAATACCTTGGCACTGGTTCGGGGTCTTGAGTACAAAGATAACTTTTTGAGTACGATACCTTAACCCCTTGAGTACGATGACTTAACCCCTTGAGTACAATAACTAAATCTATTGAGTACGATAACTTAAGAACACCGAAGGGCTAAAAATATAACAGTGAACAACCATAACAATATAACAGTGA